CTTTACTGAAGTTCTGTTTTTAAGTATTTTTGGTGGCTTTTTAGCACTTGGATGAGGACTGTGTTACTTCGATGCAAGCTGATTGCTGCTGTTATTCATTTTCGCTCTTATATTTAATTTTAATCCTTTATTACTTTAATTCTTTCAGCTTCAATTTTTCATTTCAGGTTACAGCACGTTTCCGTGTTCCGCCAGGGAATTATGTTATTGTTCCTTCGACTTTTGAGCCGAATGAAGAGGCTGAATTTATGCTTAGGATCTTTACGAATAGCTTTATTGAGTCCGAGTAAGTTGCCTTATTTGTTATAAGGCTTTTACATGTTTCAGAAAAAAAATAAAAAGACTTTCAGAGAGCTTTGAGTGATATTTGTGGTTAATCTGGATTCAATCAACTGGTTGGTCGTTTCATGCGCTCATCCGTTTTTCTACTTTCACTATGATATTTTGTCAGACTCTGGCATCAGTAAGTTTTCGGAAATGGCTGTTTTTTTGGTCTTCAAGGAACAGCTTAACGGGTTTGGTCATCTCATTCTCTAATTTTTGCCGTGAAAATGCATTTTTTTTATTCTGTTTTTATTATGTTTGGTTTTTCTTGTACTATTTTTGACCCTAAAGTGGCAGAAGGGCTTTCAAAAAGAGTTGTTGCCCTACTGCCATTTTTCGTCTTTCCTTGAGCTTTCTTACTGAATGAAAACCTTGGTAATATAAATAATTGCTTTGTACATTACCACAAGGAATAATGCGGAGTAAGCAGAATTGTCTTTTTTTTTTGCAGGATTATAAACTTCTCTCTTGTCTTTGAATTTCTCATTATCTTATGCTTCTTGTCCTTTTCTACGATCTGCTGAAAGTACACTACGCTGTTTCTGCCTATTAATATGTTCTATCAACGGGGGCTTCTGGTTTAAAGGTTGTTGTAAATAAGTAGTTATAGAATGAGGTCGCCCGAGCATAAAATGTAGCAACTAGACATCATTTGGAGGTGATGCAGTACTGTGCTAGCGATATTGTGAGATTTCTCGAAATGTTTCTCTTTTCTTGTATTTCATTGCTGTAAAGTGCTTTTGCAACGTTAATTTAATAAAAATACTTTGAAGTGGTTATGTTTCAGCAAACTTTCTTAGTTACTGCGGATATGCTTTCATGAGTATTTGTTACATTAACTATGGAAACTTCAAGATGCCGCAGGTTTTGAAAAAAAAAACCAACAGTGGTTTAGGAACTCCTCTGTTGCCTTACAGTACTTAATGATTACTACGACTGAATCTTACTTTCAAGCAGTTCTAAGTACAAATATTCTCAATTTTTAAAAATTCTTATAATAGGAGTTAGCCCTTTACCGGATCCCATTAATTTATTTTGAGAGTTTTGCTGCCCGTTGACAGTTCCTGGCGCCTACAGCAAGTTATTCCTGCTGTCAAACAAAGACGCATTTTCTAACCCAATCGCTGTCTCGCTCTGCTTCCGATAAGCACTTAAAGTGTGGAGACTGTTGGATTTATCATTTTTCTATATTTACAAACTCCAGACAACTCAGAGGTACTGTAAGAGAAGTGCTCGTATGCGTAGATAAGAAATTAAGTATAAATATGAACATAAATGAATAAACATTGTATATATATGAAATTACCTTAAGAAATGAGTGGAGGAACTTTAAACTGTACAGAAACCAATGGTCAAAGTTCTCTACATGAGTCAAGTTTGGCGTTTTAATAAGATAGCAGGATTTAGGAAGACAAGTTAGAGAAGAAATACGTATTTTATAAGAATTTGGAATTGGCTGGTGAAAGTTAGTTTAGATATTAGTCTAACTTTGAACTGAGATCCGAGCATACGTTTAAGTCTGAGTTTAAAATCTCCAAAAGGTTCTAATATTTTTTTCAAAAATATTTCTGTTCTAAATCATTGAGTTATGGTAACTTTTCTGTAGGACGACTTATTGAGCCACCAATCTCGGATTTGACTAAAGGGGCAGTTTACTCTATCTTTATATTTGGCTTGATTTTGTTTATTTTTATTTGTTTATTATAATAATCTCATATATAAATATTTACTTCCTTTAAGAAATCGCTACCGACGGGTCTTAAATTTAAGAAAGCAGAAAAGCAACTATGTAATTATGTAATCCTTCTGTAATGACTGTTTGTTGAGATCACTTTTTTGGGATTTAAAGAAGTTCTTTAACAATTTTTCATTCAGATGAGAAGTCATACAATTGGAAAAAATGTTGTAACTAATAGTTCGTATCGTCAGAGCCTCAAAAAATTTCTTCAACATTTGGGAGCAGCAGTTGGTGTTGGGTGTATTCCGATAGTTGTTTTTGATGCAGTTGGCTGCCCAGTAAGCATTGTGGGCTCGTCGATGGAAGTTAGTTTGTGAAGTTCGGGACCTTCTAAAACAACAGTAGTACAAGTTCATTTGCAAACGGTTGAAAGAAATGTTTAGGTGACCTGAAATTTCGACCAAGCGCAGTCAAAAATGCTTAAAAATGCTATTTCCTTTCGACCTGCTTCATTTGGGTTTAAGCTCATTATATCTTGTCTTCACCAAAAATCTTTTCTGTTCCAAATAGCAGTAACTGAGAGAGTCGTATGCTTCGCAATACTCATCCTTCGGAACTGAGCACCATTTTCAGCCAACTCTGTCGGGGAAAGACAGTCGATGGTGGAAGCGTGATATTGTGTGGGTTTCAAGATTCGGCCTTCAAAAACTGCAAGTCGGACGCGTTTATGCATTCGTGTAAGTTTAAAGGAAAAAAAATGTTTTCAAATTTTTACTTATGATTAGGTTCCCCAATTGAAAGCTAAATCTTTAAAAGATATTAACTACTTTCCATCATTTGTCTTATAGGCCCCCTGATGACCCTCACGGACATCACATCAAACGTTTGGTTGCTCAAGAAGGCGATGTTATTAGGTAATTTCTTCAACTTCTGTGTCTCTTGTTGAATATTAATCTTTTTTAGGTAGTTTTATTACTTCGTGTTTTCACTTTCACACTGATTTTGCAGACCCAAGAACGGAAGCTTCAATCTTCAGATCCCCAACAGAACTTGCTGGATGGAGTCTGATAATCCAATAGCAACAAAAGACAGCAATACTTACGGACCAGTAAATTTCTCAGTTCTAAATTTCAAACATGTCGTAAAAGAGCTGTATAAACGCATTTCTGAGAATTAAAATATTAATTTTCTGAATTTATTTTTAAAAAGTTCAGGTGAATTACGGGTTGATTACTGGACGTGCCACTCACATCATTTGGCCTCCACAAAGATGGCAAGTGCTGGAACCGAAATTACTTGAAACTCATTCACAGAGGCAGAAGCCGTTTACAAATTCACTGATTGAAAACTTTAGGAAGTTTTTTGACGATTCAGACGGTGATAATCGTGACTAAGCCTTACTTAGAATTCTAAATCCATACAATATTGGTTACATTTTGAGATCATTTAGTTACGTTGTAGCCACTGGCACGTAAATTGAAAGACCTTTTCATTAGCGAATAATTGAAATTATGTAGGATGGTGAAGTGTCACTCTTTTGAGTAATTTTGCAACAAAGAATCTGATGGCACCCGGAAAAACTATTCGCTGATGATTGCCCTATGAATATGTATATGCTTTTTAGAATGCTGAGTCAACATTTATGAGAACCGCAGTCTTGAGCACTGCAGGCCACTTCCTTTCGTGGATTATTAAATGAATTTAGTGATTTTACCTTAAAATAAGGCGTTCTTAAAGGCATCGTACTTCTTGTGTTTTACTAAGGCAAAGAAAACAGCATCCAAATGAGAAAAGTCAACCACTTTAAGTTAGACGATAATTATTTCAGAAGCAATGATTCTTTTTGTTTTAGTTATTGATGATCGTTTGTCTTTTAATCAAAAATATTTAAACTCGCTTCAAAAACTCCAAACTTGAAACCTTTGTTCGACTGTTGTGTGTCATCTGGCAGTAAATTAATGGTTTTTGATGATATATGTTTAGGTGGCACAAACTGGAGTCCTAAATGCTTGTATAAAGAGATGAAGGAATCTGTGTTAATCGGAGCTGCATTTTTGCTCGTATTATCCAGCCAATGAGTGGTACCCGATTTCAAAATTTCTGCAGTAAATTATGCTCAGTATAACAGAATATCATTCATATGTTAGGGAAATTAACGCCACAATTTTTGTGAAGAAAAGTGAATAGTGGAATGACGCAAAAATACCTTTTTTTGTAGATATGTTTTAAACTACATACCTTTGTGAAGAATTCTAAACAAATGCGAATTCTTCAGTTATAATTTTGCGATATCCAACCACGGAGGCAGCTTCCCAGTAGTCAAATTTTAACACCACGATTTAGAGGTTAATGAAAAGAGTGTAAAAGGATGTCATTTTGAGGATAAGCTTAGTTTTTATGTAACCCCTAGGTTGAGGCAGCCAGAAAAAGGGCCATGAGGCAGAAAATTATAATCTGAGAAATAACAGTCAAAAATATTTGGTTACCCAACCTTTAGATGAGTCGATTAGGTTTGAAAACCATGCTTTGGGGCATCCTTTTAAGGTCGCTGTTATTACAAGTGAAGTCTTTTTATCTTTGGACTCTTAGAAAAGTCTTAAAAAAAAAGGGAACCGATAAAGACAATCCATTGCTTCCCGTCTTTCAGGCCAATTTTTTCTCAAAACTGAGCCAAACTTCTAAACTTTTTTAAATCTGAACTTCAGCAAAGTATAGTGGAAATAGTGGAAATTTTGCATCCACATTTTGACCTCTTGAGAAGAGTGCTTCGATGAAATCTTCCTGAAGTATTTATAGTGAATATAAAAGCAAGCTAAGTAGGATAAAAATACGTGAAATATTTAGATACGAATAGACTCCAAACACAGACCAAAAACAACAAGGTTTAAAAAACAAAGAATGTGTTTATCGACTTTTATAGAAAGAGTTTTCAATAAGCTGCCTCATATGTAATTTTTCAAAAATTCTGAAAGCACTTTTTTAATCTTTTGAACCGTTCTCATCAGCATGCAAAAACGAAAGTGTGTTTTATAATTTTTTCTGCAACTGATATTGGAAACTATTGTCAAAGTGACCGGAATTGATGACAACGATAACTGGATGAAAATTCTAATTGCGGTCAGTGCACTGCTCCCCACGGATTAAAAACTGCTAGAAATATTAGTTATTGTATCTTATTTTTTGTTTAAAATAACGAATGCTTTTGATAAGAAGATTTTTAAAATTAAATAAATATATGAGTAACAGTTTTACAAAATAACAAATGGAGGTGAGGAACGTTCAAAAAAAAATTTGGACAGCATGCAACAGAAAGTAGAAACTACGATTATTCAAAGTGATTACCACAACGACATCCAACAACATTTACAATTATGATCAATAAGTGATGACAAAACTGCTTAAAAACAACTTGTACATAACAAGAATTTGTGCGTTACAAGTCATTACATTCTTATGGCACTAGAATGGCACACATTAAAGGAAATGTAGTGTGATCACTTCTGCAATTCCTTCTGCTAAACCGAACTGCGTCTTAGAAAAGCACTCTTCAGCAATGTGAACATTCAATTTTTTACCGGCACTAAACTATCGCCAGAATTTTGCTAACGACTGGCCACACCACAGTTCCCTCAATCCATATTTACCCAGCTAACTGTGTATTCACCGTTCACCAACAACAGAAAACCAAAATTGACCGGATTTTAGCAGTTTCTCCAGGCACAATCTGCTTCTGATAAAGGCATTCAGTAAATGCCTAACTGGAACTGTGCTGCAATAAACCGAATAATTCTGAAAGCGAATGTTTTATTTTGAATTTTTGTGGCAAACCTTTGCCGCAAATACTAAGATAAATACCTTAAAGTTCTGAAGCTTTTTCCTTTACTTGACGGCTGGGCTGTGAAACATTTGAGAAGTTCATCTCTATTTTGATCACCGGAACTACGTACCCCAATTGTCCCCGTCTGTTTCTGTTGTTCACTGGTTAGCAGCCAGATTTCTGTTATTTTAACTCTTTGATGAGACATGCAATTTC